CTCTCTCTCTCTCTCTCTCTCTCTCTTCTCTCTGACAACCATAAAATAAAAACCATTAACATAATAATATATAACTCTAATATGAGTCGTTAAATTGTAAACACGTGATCCTTAAAAGAGAACCCCCCTACACTGTACCATTGTGCGATTGACACATATTAAAACATGCTTAAATCACGTGACAGAGGCTCTTAGCCTGAAAAAGTAGGCGTTTTTTCCGCCCAAATCGACACATTCTAGGTCATTTAAGGAGGAGGGCTTTCGATCCTGCTTGTCAGGGCAGGCCAAGGCTAAGAGGGTGTGTAACATCTCAGCAGAAAGACTGAAATTACTCGATAAACATTAATTTTCCCCCGTTCCGGAATAGAAATCGGGTCTCCTATACGTGCGACAGGGAAGCACCAAACCGCTCCACAAAAATGCCGATTCTCCCTGCCTTGTCGTAATGGTGATTTATGAAAATGACTGTAATTCCATTTAGAAAAACGGGGCAAAGGTTTCTAATCAAAATCTCCATTAGTGCCAGATAAACAAATGCACGTTCCTACTTGTCGAAAATGTTTCAAGTTTTATAATTTGCAAAATCCAAAGTTAGGTGAAAGACAAAATATTAAATACTTCTACTAATCCGTTGGAACGCAGTTAATTTTTTCATCAAGTACTAGATCAGACACAGATATAGAAATCAATAATCTCAATTCGCAAACCCGAAACTCAATAATTTCAGATGTGCTCTAATTTAATGGTGGGCTGAGAGAACTGAGTAAAAAATCCTTTGTCCGTAAAAATCACACGGCATCCGAATGGTTTTGCAACATTTCGAACCACTGTAGAGAGCGTAAAAATACGAATGTTGAAGAGTGAAGTTGGATGGCGCTCCGTCAGCTCAGTTGATATCATGCTGGACTACGGAGCAGATAGTCCTGATTCGAATCCGAGACTGGTAGTTCTTGAACTCTCATCGTGTTATGGAGTTTCCAGGCTCTCAATTCATTTGGCTGAGTCCTCTTGGAGACGGAGGTTAAATTCGGACGTCAGGCCTCTTAAATATAACCCAATAACGTCGATAGAGGCATTAAACTCGTAACTTACTGTTGTACAGCTCAATCTCTCACCTGCCACGGGATGCCGCCCAAAACTAGCAAGATGGCATAGTCCATGTAGAGTCCTATATCCGAGGGCATGACCTCCCCTAACCAGGGCTCTGAGGAGTTGGTTGTGATGGGGATCGTGGCGTCGTGAGTCATGGCGAACGGCACACACAGCCACTGGGGTAAGAATGATAAGAATAATTCTAAAAAATTAAATTATAATACTACTATTACAACAACAAC